CATCCGATTGTTTTGAAGTAGCCCGCGAGCAAGCTCTGCTGCGGCAAGAAAGCCGAAGAGCGATGCAAGCGTTCAAGAGATCTGCGAAGGGCGCGCATGTTTGATGGCACAAAAATGAGTGCCTGCGAGGACGCTTTTGTTTCTCGATTCCGGCGTCTTTTTTAGTGCCAGGCCCCTTGCAAACTTCTCGCACGCTTCATTCGCTCTCAGGCTTTAAATCTCGCGGGCTTTGTCGCTGGTGCCATAGAGGGGATGAAAACCCGTCTACGTTGAGGGCGACTCTTAAGTGAATTTCTTTCTCTACAGGGAACTTCCCCTTTTCATCGTTCTAGGTTTAACAGGAATGTTTGGTAATCAACTATTGTACCTTCTTGGTATTTATTACACTAACGCGAACATAGCGTCCATCTTCCAACCAGCAATCCCCGTGTGGACAGCATTACTTGCTATCATAGTGCGCATTGAGCCGTTTCCAGACTTTCGTACTTTGCGCGGCTGGGCCAAGTCTCTGGGAATTCTTTTAGCTGCTGTCGGAGCCATAGTTATGACAGTGGAAAAAAAAACTGGCCAAGCATCAGACCATAGTGGATCATCCTCGTCTGGCAGCGTCAATTTTGTGGGGTATATATTCCTCCTCGGGAATACTTTGTCCATGGCTGTGTATATCCTCCTTCAGAAGAAGTTTATCTTTGACAAAGAGGACTCTTGTTGGAAAACGAAACCTGTGACAGTCACTGCGTGGAGTTATCTCTTCGGTGCAATGTTTATGGCTCTCGCCTCGCTTTATTACGTCAACAAGCCGGAAAAGTTTACGTATTTCCCTCAAGAGGAAGTTTACCCAATTCTGTACGCAATATTTATCGCCTCAGGTCTATGTTATCTTTTAATATCCTGGTGTAACATGCAGATATCTGCGTCACTCGTGACAGCCACATGGCCACTTCAGGTTTTGTTCTGCGCCATTTTGTCTTACTTTGTGCTGGGCGAGGTGCTGAAAACTTTGGAATACGTTGGAGGTGTGCTTATTGTTATAGGCCTCATGGCAGTCGTTTGGTCAAATTTTTCAGAAGAAGAAATGAAAAGCGAACAGGAAGAAGACTTGAACAATTCTTATGGCTACGTTAAAGTATCACAATATGATGGTTTTGTTGCAGAAGGTTCAAGAAAGAGAAAAGAAGTGAATTAGACACTAATTAAGTCTGACAAAATAACGTCATCTGATCTAAAATATTCTTCGTTTTATCTAATATTGCAGCGTTGTGCCATAAGTTGGTCTGTACTTATAACTGCCAGGGTATTTAAGAAAATATTTAGGAAGTCTCAAAACTTATGAATTTCTCACCTAATCATAAAACTTATAATTTCCTCGATTGTGATTTGTTTAAAAAAACTCTTATTTTCCACTTATTCACTTGTCAAGGTGTTATCAAATCAACCAATCACAACCTTGGTTTCAATCACCATAGAAAAACAGTGTACAGACTCTTAAATTGAGGCTTTTTTTTCTCTTTTTTAATTCCATTTCTTTTATAACTTGGCTATATTCTTCTTCTCTCTTAAAATTGTAATTTTTTTGATTAATTGGCAATAAGACTTCATGTCGTCCAATTCGGTCTGTAATCATACTTGTGATGAATAAATCGGACTCCCGCCGCGCGGTCGTCCGATTGTGTTATCACTTGTACGATGACAGACCGAATTGGACTCCACTCAGTCCTATAACCATTACATATTCATAGATAATGTATTTCGTTAACGTATATTTCAGTAATATTAATCGTAGTGGTAAGCCTTCGCAAGATTTTGGCTTCGTGGTTTGAAGGCCAAAACCCAAAGAGAAAACTCAGCAGTACACGGGTATGTGTTTCTGGGAGAATAGATGCTAGAAGAGAGATGAATAGATGGATTAATAGGTAAATTGGTACACATATAGGCGTATAATCATCTTGATTTTCAGATTATTTTAGCCGGGCATGCAAGGTTGTATCGAGTGTTTTGTACCACTCGCAAAGTCCCCAGCCTTACTGTTGTCAACATCACACCTCTAAAGCCAACATTGCGCTTTGCGGTTATGTGATCCATACAGAGCATTCTTTTATTGTTCGATTTATTGTCCTACAATTTAATCGCATTTTCCGTACTGTTCAAAGTTGTTGGACTTAATTATGGCCCAACTAGGACTCAACGCACCTTTGTTTGGTTTTTATTTGAAAATTGTTCTTCACTTTCCAGAATCATCACTGATGTTGTGTGCAAGATGAATTTGAAAAAAAACCGATATTTTTATGGGGTTGTCATGTTAAGTAAGGTCTCTAATTGCATCAATTGTTTTTATTTTTAGCATCTGATATTTTTCTTGCAACGTCAACCCCAAATCACACACTAATATAAGGCCACGAAAATAAAGGAAATGATCACCAACTAAAGAAGCTCTTGATTGTAAGCAAATTCTCCTTGTCAGCATCTTAGGAAATGTTCAGAGAACTGTATGGAGAATATGCATACTGATGTTAAAGCATAAAGGGTTAACGATGCGCAGAACGAGAATCTATGAATCTCCAATCGTTTATTTTCCGTTGTGCCAAAGAAAAGCTGAGCAAATCACATTTGACTAAGAAGACAATCCTTAGAAGGTGCGTATGGAGGAAGGAATCCCTTGGCTTTTAACTTTCCTCATTATCATTTCTTCGAAGAACAGCCGGAGTTATAACCCTAGCCTAGCCTCTACTGGATTCAAGATAGATAGAACTGAAGTGATTTACAGAGCTAAATGTCTCTAACGTGTATAACTGCTAAACCTAATCTCTTGTTCACGTGAACATCTGGACCAGACAAAACAAATGATCTCAAGAGGAAGTTGTCTTAAAAACTCAATTGACACTTCTGCTCTCTCCAAATATGCCCTCTGGTATCGAACATATGGCAGGCACGTGCAAGGTCATTAGTTTCTCAAGGTTGACAATTGACGAAAACAATTAGGCAGTCGTCATTTACTGACGCCTGAGGGAGGAGGTTGAGGATTCAGTGCAGGGGGAGGGGGGGTTACGTGATTTTCAAGGAAAGCGGAGGGTGGATCATTCGACAACAGAGTTTAAAGGAAGAAATATAGAAAACTAACTGCCAATTACCTACCGTTTAGGGGAGGGAGGGGATCATAAGAAGGTTATATAGCCTTATGGGGGGGATCAGATAAATTTAATCATTACACAACCAAGATCTTCCGACCCCCTCTCCCCTTGGTGATCAATAACGAGGAGTCGACAAGTGCCATTTGTTTCAATTCCGACATCTGTTAACTCCAACCGTCCAAAGATGATGGAAGATGCTAAAGGAACAAATAAAATTATTATCGTCGGTAGCCCTTTAAATGAAACTTTGCTGTTATGTGAAATCTAAGTTACGATATTTGTATGATTCTCACACTTGCTTTATGAGTGCGTGTATCTTGTAACTCGCAATGCATGACGGATGAGGATTATTTAGTTCAAAAGTTCAAGGGTAACAACAAAATAATTGGACTCTAATCATTCATTTTTTCTCGGAAACTTTTTTTTTTAATCATTCAGAATTCATTTGGTATCCTGAGATTAGTTTAAGTAATTTTTGTGTTGTTTACACGTAATCAGTTTCCGCGGAATGTGTACCACTTTACCGAGTGGAAGGAGTGGCCAGTGGATGGGGAAAAGAGTTGGTTCGAAGTCATGATGTGCGGACTGATTGCGGCGAAATATTTTTTCTTCCAGCCCGACGAAACTCAGTCAAAAGGCATAGTGTCATTTTTTCTTTCTTTCTTTCTCTCTTTCTTTTTTTCTTTCAGCTCGCATCTCGCAGGGGCTCAAGGCTTTTTTTCAGCCTTTCCCGCACCATCGCGTGTATCGATCATTTTCTTTTTTAGTCTAACAAGAGCGCAAAGGGAACTGAAGAGGTCAGATGACAACTGAATCAATTATCAGGCAACTCGATAGGGTAAAAACAAGCCAAACAAACAGAAACTTCTGCTTGTCAATCACTAATGCCAAGATTTTTCTGCTTGCTTCTGCTTGGACCCCTGATTTTCGATGGTGTCATTTCTATGATACTTTGGCAAATAAACACCAACAAGCTTATGCTTGTCCGTTTTTCATTTATTCATGCCATGAAACTTCTGCCTGCAAACTGTTGATATCAGAGGTGAAATCTCAGTGCAGGAACTACAGAAATTTTTTTTCATCGTTCTCGGCTTAACGGGAATGTTTGGTAGTCAACTATTGTACCCCTCGGTATCTACTACACGAACGCGAACATAGCGTCCATATTTCAAAATTTAATCCCGGTGTGGACAACATTACTTGGTTTCTTAGCACGCATTGAGCCGTTTCCAGACTTCCGTACTTTGCGCAGCTGGGCCAAGTCCTTGGGGATTCTTTTAGCTGCGATTGAAGCTGTAGTAATTACTGTGGGAAAAGAATCTGACTAAGCATCGCAGCACAATGGATCAAACTTTTCTGTACGCCGCTTTGTGAGGTACATAATTCTCCTGGGAAGTACTATAACCACGGCGCTGTACATTTTCCTTCAGAAGAAGTTTATCTTTGACAAAGAGGACTCTTACTGAAAAACAAAACCTGTTGCAGTTACTGCGTGGAGCTATATGTTCGGTGCGGTGTTTTTCGCCCTCGCATCGCTTTGTAGCATTAAGAAGCCAGAAAAATTTACGCATTTTCCTATAGAGGAGGTCTATCCAACTACGTACGCAATATTCAACACCTCTGGGTTGTGTTATATCTTTATTTCTTGGTGTAACTTGCAGATATCAGCCTCACTCGTAACGGCCACATGGCCTCTTCAAATGTTTTTCTGTTTCATTTTTTCGTACTTGATGTTAGGTGAGTTGCTGAAAGCTCTTGAATTTATTGGGGGTGTGACCATCATTTTAGGCCTAGCGGTAGTGTTCTGGTTGAGTCTTACAGAAGAAAAAACAAACAACAAAGAGAAAGAGGCCTTGAACGGTTCTTACAGCTTCGTTAAAGTGTCACAGTACGATGCATTTACAGCAGAGGGTCAAATACTAATTTAACCTAACAAAAACGAAGCCATGTGATCTCCCGTCTAGCAAGAAACGCTTTATCTAATATTGCAATTTTGTGCTATTACATTCGGATCTTCTGCCTAATTCGAGATGCAAGATGTCTTCCAATGCTTTTCTCGACAGCTTTCGACTCTGAGAGGAGAATCCAAATTCCTTCATTGAAGTTGGGTAAGAATTCAAAAGAATTTAAGTGCTACTATGATCAAATTTTATTTGACAAGTTTCATATACTACCTTATCCTACAACATGCATACAGTTCTTGGATAAAAAAAGACAATGGCCAACAACAGATTGCCTTTAGGACAACAGCTTTGTTTTAGAATGGAAAGGGGTTATACGACCCTTCCCCATGCGATAGATAATCATTGATTTCTCGTATGAGAAAAATTGCTCGATGTATTACAATCATTTCTCTAATAACAATTGAACTAATTTTGAAAATATCATATTCAACACATTTGAAATAGTAAAACGAAGAAATGGAAAGGGAGGAGACTTTTTATGCACCATTCACAGCATCAAAAACATACGTTCAGTTAAACCAGTTTAAACTGGATGAAAATCAGCAATAGACGAATTGAAAGACTAATTTTACAAAGGGTTCACGTAGTCACTACCTTCTATTGTCATTGGGCTAAATTTGAACTCAACAAACGTCAGTATAAGCAGCTTCTATCAAGAGCTGTAACAATTTCATGTCACTAGAGTCCTTGCCATAAAATTATCCTTAACGTTTGAACATAGAATCTTTTTCCTTTGCCCTTTTACTCCCCTAACATCAGTATGTATATTCTCCATACTGTTTTCTATACATTTCCTATGGTTCTTACAAGGAGAATTTGTCTAATGATCAGGAGCGTCTTGAGTTCGTGATCGTTTCCTTTATTCTCTTCTCGTGACCTTGATATAATGTTTGATTCAGGGGTAATATTGTAAGGAGA